TGGGTACCACAATCTACAAAGATGCTGCCTGCCGCTGCTACGACTAAAATAGCCAATTACCATTTGTTGCACATTAAATTTGGTAGAGCGGAAGTTGTGAATTTTTACAACAGGTTCAATAACACCAGCCTCCCTGACTCTTTGTTATTTACTCCCTAATTTACAGGCAGAAGTAGAACTGTCACTTTTGGAGTTTTCCAAATCTCACTCTGGCCCGCTAATGACGACAAGGCCACTTGGTGCATCTCATGATTCTCCCAAGTGTCTCTTATCCGTAGAGCCTGAGGTTGTTCATTTGGGCCTTGCATTTCAGCAGCTGTTACCGACTGAATTTAAGGATGTTTTTCATAAAAATGCCTCGGGCTCAAGAAGTTAAAGTCCTCTCATACAGAACAGACATAATATTGCAAAAACGACTGGCTGTGTATCTACGCTTGACAGATTGCACACATTTAATAGAATTTAAAATGTCCGTCTGGTTTGGGCGAGTTATAATCTGACATTACAGCTCTGTGTTTTATTCATTTAAAGAATTCTATCTGCACCTGTTCAAGTCCCTTTACAGTGCATTACATAAACCTGTAACCAACAGAGGTACTCCACGTCTTCGTGACCTCACTGCCTTCTGGAATATACTCCAAAAAAATAAACGTCTGAATAAGAAAGTTTTGTTGACATGCTGCTCAGGTTTGATGATGATGGATTCAGGCGCAGCAGCAGGCTCAGTGCTTGTTAACAGCAGAGAGTTATGAGAGCGTATGGAGCTTCACAGCATCAGAGCAGCGCAGCAGCACGTCATATCTAAAAAACCCCGACACGCCAGCAGAGCCCTTCATTCAAACAACAACTTCTCTCATCAAAGATTTAGGGTTGCTCCGATGGGGGCTGTAATCAGATGTGGAATCCACTTATGTGAAACAGCTCAGATGATCTGGGAGGTGCGGCTAGTTGGATGGAGAGCAGAACAGAAAAAAAACGGAAGGGAAATAAGGGATCCACGAAGGGGTTGGTGAGCGGCACCGAGGCCCGCGGGGCAGGAACAGAAGAAGAAAAAAATGAAAAGGGGCAAGGGTCTCCTTTATTTCACCGCATGACCAGCCACGCAGCGGTAGGTATGCATTCCCACAGCTCAGACTCAAACAGCCCATTCAGTAAAGCTCGAGCATGACTGCGTGCTCTGGCTGAAAGCTGCAAAGGAGCTGCATGACGTGCAGGGAAGTCTCTAATGGTACAGAGCATGAGGCGGCCCGTTCAGCTGATGATTGCTTCCTGGAATCTACGAGGAAACAAGTGTTGCTTATGAGCTAAATTTGAAGCACAAAGACTGGAAACGTGGGAAAGCAGCACATGATGATTAGTAATCTTTACCAATGAAACGAAGTGATCACAGGCTTTCTGTATTTAAAAAAAAAAAAGCCCTTCGTCTCTGCGTACATCACGTCACCTTTTTGATGTTGCAGGGGTTATTTTGTGAAAAAAATGTAAGAAAAAAAGGGAGATGTAGTGAGCGGCACTGGGGTTGGAGTCATCTTTTATGCTCAGGCTTCGTACCAGCTGAGACAAGCCCTCTGCGTCATCCAGCCTCCTCCAGAGCCACAAGAGGAATCCCCATGCACGATGAGCAAGACCTCCGACTCGCCTACGAATGATTTAACCCATCACCTCACAGTTATTACAAACTTATTTTCCCACCTATAGCTCTGAAACAAGCCAATTACATGAGGCGGCCAGCATGTTCGGAACGAGGGCACTCTGTGATGAACTGGGAGGACGGAGGAGGAAGAAGCATTACCTACCTCCTAATACAGAGATTTAAGAGGGAACAGCCATCACAGAACAGAATGAAAGAACAAAGGGTGAAACAAAGGTCAGAGAGAGGGAGTGAGGAACACAAAAAACAAAAAAAACAAAACACAGAAGGATTCAGGAAAGACAGCGAGCAGAAAAACTACCAGGACAGAGAGCTGGAGAGAGAAGTGTAATGACTGGCTTTGAGTGAGAGGACAGCGGGACGGATACAACAAAGACGAGAGGTCACAAGATGGTGCACAAAGAGAAAAAAAGAACAGCTTCATCGTAACTCTCCTTACAACCTTATCTGGCATCATCATGAAGGTGGACAGTTTTCTAGCCAAAAGTGGGAACCGATGAGCTAACTAACAGTTGTTTGGAAGGTTGCCATTAACATCCTTATAGGATAATGGATTAGAATCGCTAATTCTATCTTTGAGCAGCAGAAGAATAGCACCTGGTCACAGAGAATAACATTGCACATTATCACAACTGAAGGTTTGGTGGCTACATGAGGCAAACTCATGCTTTCTGTATGTCTGCAAGGGTCCCTATGATGCTAACTTCATTGTATGGACTGTATGCTGTGCAAGGGCGTCAACTGAGCCTTTGCCAAGAAAACAAAACACGCTCAAAACAAAAGCTCGTTATAAGGCAAGACCGCACAAGTAGACTCTCGATCATCCACAGTTTTATAACATTGCATTTTAAGAGATGTAATTGAAGTAGTTGCTGCTGGACTTTGAAGATGGTTTGATTTACAGCTACATGCTTTCCAACCACACAGTGGGAAGTTCTAAATTCTCCAGAAGTCCCGTGCTACGTCCACCCACTGTGCTCGACACACCTCAAGAATAACCGCTGACACAATCCTACGGTCCAATCTGTAACTAACTGCTGTATCCTGTAAAAAGTGCAAAGTCACATCCGCCCCGTGAGTGTCCCTGTGTTCAACATGAGCAGCAATGCGACTGACTGCAGCAGACCGATCTGTTCCTATTGTAGTATGAATAGAACTGCATCCACTGTCCACTTTTTACATTATTCTGAACACAAGGATGTTGAAACCACAAATTTGCCTTCACAGTCCTGTTCTCATTCCTCTCTTCTGAAATGAAATTATTTTACATATTTTAGGTAACAGTTAAGTTATTGTTGCCCAAGAGCTGTCGATCTCCAGCATGGCCACCTGAAAGCTACGAGTCATCTCACAACACACATAGTTCAGCAGGAAAATTAAAGTCACGACTTGTCAGTGATGCTGCCAACAGAAATCAACATTATCAAGGTTACTTTTGCATCTCTGAGTGCACATACCGAGCTTTAAGAGCCAGCCTTCTCTGTCAGGGTTGAAGAATGTGTGTGTCAGATCGTTCCCGTCGTCCTCTGGGATTTTGAAGGGCTCGTTTTTGATGCTGTCGTAAAGGTTCTGCAGACGGAGGAGGGGGAAACTATTAATCAAACGGGGAAACAGTGAAGGAAATGCGGCATTCGTATGGGGTGCAAGTGACAGAATGATCACGGATATCAATCACCACACATGCAAACTCATTACAGACAAATCCTCACCCTGAGAAGCTCCTCTGGCAGATCCCCCCCTTCATTGATGCCTCTGTTCATGGAGATAAAACGCTCGACTGGGGGCTTGTCTCTGACGTTGGGGTTATGAAGGCTGGTGTTCAGCATGATGATGGCAAACGACAACACGTAGCAGGTATCTGAGAGCAACGGAGAGGGAAACAAGTGGTTTATAACACATTTACACCTGGTGTTACCACCCAGTCCCACCCAGCAGGTGTGAGCATTTGGAGGTTTTAGAACATATAACAGGGTGTCATCAGCATACAGTCATATTTTTCATATTTTAATTTCTTCGTAAACATATTGCCATTTGTCATATTTCTATTTGTGCTCTAAGGTGTCTAAATATGGATTTTTCTTGTAAGGAATTTAAAGGCATTTTCTCTGTCAGCTGGAGAAATGACAAGCATACTTCAGTTCTACTTCAGTTTTTCCAAATTGTCTTTTAATATCTTTCAGGCTTCATTTGAAATATGTGCGCGTCTGCGAGAGAAATGTGCGAGTGTCTGCGGGGGGAAGACGGGTTTACAGTCTCTCTACTGAGCGTTAATGTTCAGACTCACACGGGCCAGTGGCTGCCTGTAAATGAATCATTCATTCCCCTCTGTCTGTCTGCTCACACTGACACACTTTGGTCCTGGTTGTCCTGTGCTGCCTATTGTCTGCCTGCTTCTCTATAAAAAAAAAGAGGAGCTTTGCACACAGTGAGTACTGTGGAGGGAAAGAGGTGCTGAAGCAAGAGGAATGTCAGCGTAGTCAAAAAAAAAACTGATGAGCGGGATGAAGAGACAAACACGTTTCTCATGCTTGTGGTAATTAAAGCTCTTTGATGTGCTCGCTTGCTGCCACACATAAGACCGAGTGCTGAAATCTGCCCTGCACCCACACCGACCGAAACACATAAATATGCATGCATACCTATGTGCAGATTGCACTTCAGACTTTATGGCAGCACTGAAGAAGGAAGCACACTTAATCCATCAAACTGCAGACTCGCACTGACAAGGTCAAGCTGAACCATTTTGGAGGCTTTTATCCTACATGTTGTCCCTCTCTCCATCATTTTTACATTTTAGCATTCGAATTTGCCCAGCTATACCTAAGCAGGTGATCCATTGGTTTGTCCACATAACTTTCTCCATGGAGCCACATGCTCCTGCTGCAATATTGTAAACAATGGGTCACTCTGAACCTCTTCAATTATTCACTGACTGTTGTAGTTGTAGGCTTTGTTTATCACAAGACCGTGTATCACTCAGCCAGGTTGAGTCTTCCTGAATAATGGATGACCCTTGTTTGTTGCTGGTTGTTTACTCATCTGCTACAGTAGCCTAACCTGGAATCTGTAGTCACTTTTAATCTGGTTAATCCTCACTGAGCCTTAGTTACAGTAACTCTTAATGACTGAAATGCATTAAAAAAAAACAGGCCATCACTCATGCATCCTATTATAGACCCTCAGGCAATATTTCATATTTTGCACATCAGACGAGACTGCTTGTCAATGCACTGAATATAGACAATGCAGCTATTGTTTCCCCCCCTTTGATTCTCCATCAGGGCTATTTGTACCCCAGGCAGTCCATACTTTTACAGTTTCCAATTAGGAAGATTAGATACATTTGAACAAACAGATTATGATTTGATTTACAAAGTCTGCCTTGAAAACCGATTGAAAAAACACAAGTGGCAAAAAAAAAAAGCTGAAAGCAGTGGATTATTTCTCACATGGTTTCACTTGAATAAATGATCTAATATTTTACCAAAAATCAGTGATTAAAGGAACAAATCTAAAATCTAAAAACAGATTTGTGGATCGGATCTTAGCTTTTTCTGCTGCCCCCTGTATATAAAGTAGCTCAAAGTAGCTCCACATGCAGCTACAGCAGTAATATGCTGCTGACACACTTATCCACAAATATTAATAATCTAATGATGTCATATATAATTGATTCATTCACTGCCTTTTGCTGCTTATGTACTTTCAGTCAAGTAGGATTTTTCGTGCAGGTCTTTTGCTTTTAATCAGATATTTTTACACTGTTGTATTGGTACTTTTACTTGAGTAAAGGATCTGAATACTTCTTCCACCACTGAGGTAACCAAATGTATCAGATGTACAGTTAAAACAGCTACTGTTCACCATTTTATCATCTCAAATACGAATGAAAATTCTCCCAAACTGACAAACACTGACTGTTCAACTGTATGAAAAAATAATGTAATAACATTTTTATACAGTTAATAGCATCCAGTAACATCCAGATTCAAATCAAATCAAATGACCACGTTTGGAGCATGACTGGTGGTGATAATCATGGACTGGAGCTCATCAGACGGAGCTGAATCAGTGTTTTGCGCCACAAAAACCTGCAGTGAATCTGACCTGTCGATTGGAAGACTCCGGGGTTGCACTGGCAGTACCGCGAGGCAAAGGCCTCCATCATACGGTCGATCTTCTGGGCTTCACCGGGCAAACGGAAACTCCACAGAAACTGCCTACAGATACAATAGAGAGGTGTCAGGGTGCACACATTGTAAGTCAATGGAATCATTATAACTTCTTTCGCAATATTTGTGTGAGTCACTCTTCTGACCGTAGCGCTTGGACGAGGTTTAGGTCTGCAAACTCGTGCAGCTCCACAAAAGCCTGAAGCACCTTGATGTTGAAATCATCCCTGGTTGGAGGGGAGAAAAAGAAAAAGAAAACTCAGGTTTCCAGTATAATTCAGTATTTCACTCATTTCTTTTCACAGTACTATCCAGGAGACATCATAACCCCTCTACAAACATATGAACCCAAGAGACAGGGTGGGGGAAACCATATTTAATCCACCAAAGCATTTCTCAACCTGAATTCCTTTTTCTCTGCATTCCTGTCGTGTTTGTGCCCTTATTCATATCAGACGCCGCGCAGGTCTGGAAGCAATTGAAACAGCTGGCCGATGCCGAGCGTCTCTCCGCCCCGCGGGCCGGGGGAGGAACGGTGTGCAGGCCTGATGAAAAACAGCTAAACACCCACACAGGCTCCTTTCTGTCAGAGGTCTGTTTGGCTATTGGAGGGTTTTCAGAGGAAAAGTCAACAGCTGCTGTCAGACTGCGGTCACAGCTTCTCTCTGATCATATTTGTTGTACGCCAAAGTCCACGATCCCGTAATGTCTTTGTGTTGTGTATTGTTCAAAATCAAACCGGGGACTTTTCTTACTTTTTGGTGTTTTTTGTGGAAAGACGCCGGCTTACGAGAAACTCACAACAAACTCTTACTGCAATAACATTCTTGGATCGTTGTGAGGAAGACTTTTTTTTGCTTATTTGTGTTTCTGAGTCTGCATAGTGTTTGCGAATATATCGTACCCTATACTGTCGTCTGCAGCCAAATAAAATGAATCCTGTCCTGTGAGAGTTATGTGATATTGCTGTCGGCTGTTTCATCGCAAAGAAACTTGAAACGCAGTCTGCTGTTTGTAAAGCTGCAATAAAAGCTGCATATATACATGTCAGTGTGATAACAGCGAGCCTGCAACAAACAAAGTTCATTTATTCAGGAACATAAAAAAAAGTCGCCAGAAATCCTCCTTCTAGTTGTTTTTCTCTTCCCACAGCTCCTTTCCTCGTGTCTCCCCTCCTGTGTTCCCTCTCTTCATCTCCCCCTCTGCTCAGCATGTAATGATAGGTTCCTGCTTCTTGCATAAGCTTAATTAGTGATAATTACTGAGCGTAAACCCTCAGCCTGCGTTTAGTGTGATTTCCAGTGGTAGGTGGCCTCTTTGATGATGCTCCCTGAATAAAACCTATTGGCAGTGAGGAGTCCCCAGAGTCCCCCCCACTCCCCCCAACCCTCTGCCCTTCAGCCTCATTCACAGTGTGTACGTTCATCGATTCAGCCATTGTCTAACTACATCTGTCCACTGATGCACAAACAGCACTTGTACTCAGGTGAGACAACACAGTTGACATGATTTCCTTGCACGGATTAAAAGCCAGAGAGGTCAGACAGCGGAGCAACTAGCCCGTCGACGCCTAAATATTCCAACTTTTGCAACTGTTTTTTGCCAAACGTTCTCCATGCCAGCAGACAAAACGACATTTCATTTATCTCGTTCGCATGGCAGTTCAAACAGAGATCCAAATTTGGCTTGGATGGTGTCCATGTGAGGAGGGAAGCCGGCCAAAAAATGCGGATTCATTCATCACCTGCAGATAAACTATTACCTGAAAACGACATAGCCAGAAAGTGATTTTCCTCTATCCTACATCCGTACAAAGATTTGTGGATGGTTTCCAGGCACCTGAACGTCTTCTGATTCGACATATGAACATACCAGAGTTATACTGAGTAAACTGGCATCTGCAGCAGCTTTTAATTCAATGTTCTGGAGGAGAAGAGACTAAATGTTTACTCTGAAGGTGTAATATGCAAGATGTTAAACATAAACACAGTATTAATATAACAGAAAATAACTGTCTATGTCAAGAAAAAAAGATATCGTGTAGAATAATGGTGTCCTGAGTAGAGAATGAGGTCATGCATGTTAGTGCATTTGAGTCCCTCCCTTTGAAACTGCTCTAACCGTGCTTGTTAACAGACTCAGATCGACCGCCCACATTGCACTGGAAAAGCAAATGTGTAGTCCAGCATTCATCCAAAAATCTTGCGAACTGATAAAGTATTTTACTGTCTTATCTGTTACATAATTTTTGTGCACTTTTTTCATTTCAGCTCAGTGTCAGAGGCTGTCCTGCTGTTTTGAGGCCTCATTCCTGTTTCCCCATTACCACCTATGTCTGTCCTGCTCTGGTTTTGTGTGTTTGCTCCAGTCCGTCCACAGGTGGAAACAGACACACACTGAGC